CAGACACTGACTAGCTAACTGCTCCAAAGTCACAAGCCAAGATTCCAACTCATTCTTCTGAGTCTAAGACTAGTATTCTTCACAATAAATCCCACCTTCCTCAAAGAAAGAAGCCTAGTGGTACAGTTATCCATCTCCTGGGCAGACAGAGTTTCCATACTGAAAATGACCAAAGATGGTCAAGTAGTAAAGGGAACTCAAACATATTCCAACAAGGAAAATAAAATGATATACCAATAGTTAAGCACTCGAGTTTTGGGTTCAGAAAGGCTTTTTGTTCAAATAGTCCATTAGCTGTCAGGATTAGGGAAAATTAAGCTTAGATTTTGATATCCATAAAATGCTGATTAAAAAATACTAACCTTCTTGTCAACCTCATCCAGTTGTTGAATGGTTCAATAAGAATATGTACTGATAACCTGAAGGTTCCCAAGTGCAATTCTAAGAAATACAACTTCATTCAATCTATTGACTTGAGGGGATGAAAGAGTCATAAATCAGGAAAACTAGAAAATATATTCAATCCTACTTAAGAGTACAATTTTCAAGTCTAATGAAATAAGGCTTATGTCCATTTTAGGAATCCTCTCAAATGAGGTCCAAAAATTTAGGAATGGCTCAAAACAAAAAGAAAAAAGAAAACAGGAAATTCTGGCTTAACCATGAGTACTAAAAATAATTTAATTACCAATCTATGACTTCAATAATTCAGTTCCCTTAGAACCATACATATCAATGTCACCAAGTACCTAATATTTTACAAAAAAATTCTACGAAAGATAAAATGTGAATTTTCACATAGCAATACATTCTTGAAAATATAGGAACAATACTGTCTTTGAATTAGCAATTACACTCAATTTTGGATATCTGTTGGCTATTAAGATGACTTAATTTTACAAATAAGAACTGGTAAGCTAAAATTATAATTCTCTTCTCATTTTAAGAAAAAACATAATTATGAATTATTCTTGGGTGAGTAAATACCTATGAGTGATGAGAAATAGTCTCTAAACATTTTGAACATTCATCTATATCAATAAAATTTTTAGTGTATTCTAATATATGGAGATTTGCTTATGTAATATATACCATGTGTTTTTGAATATACAGTAATTTTCATGAAAACATATGCAAAAACATTTTAAGAGAATGTTATAAAAAAACTTTGGAAATGACCATCTAAAGAATCATTCAAATTAAATGTACCGATAGGTGAATGTCTTCTAACAATGCTAACAATTTCAACTAAGTAATGTTTAATGTAATATTCTCCAAATACAGAAATCCTATTAAGACAACTGTTTTCTCCTGTCTAGGATATTAGAGGTCTGGCCTATACTTAGCCATCCTTCTATCATTAGGAACAGTCATAAATGGCCTTCATAATATAGGCTCTAATTGTCAAGTGTTTCATAATAGCATAAAAAATATTCTCTTTATAGAATAATGAGACAGAAAAGATGAACGCCCAGTTTGATATTCTTTAAAAATGTCTACAGAGTATACTTTATGTTCCTCCTCCACACCTCCTCTGAAAGTGGGGCTATAAGGCTGTACTAACACTTTGACCAGAATGTTCAAATAAAAAAAAACAAGAGGGATGCTTTGCTTCAGACCCATGAATTACAAAATCCCTACAATAGTGGTTTCCCAAATTCTGCCAGAGACTGTGTAGCACAAACGTTTAGATGTATACCTATAACCACCCTATCCTTTCCCTTTTTATTCAACCCTGGACTAGACTCAAAACATTTCATCCTTCAGCGTCACTATTCCCTATAAACATATAAGAATATTGCAACATCAACATTTAAGTGGTAAATATCATGAAAAAGATCACGTAAGTCAGAAGTGAACTCCTAAATGCTGCTTTAGATTAGTTAATCATAACAGGAAGCACAAAAAAAAAAAAAAAAGAAAGAAAACTAGAATTCTATGAATGGAAGACTTATGGTTTGTTATTCCTTCTTGACAAACAGAGCAATGCATAAAAACATTGCTAAACCAATTTAAAATTGTAGTTAAAAAAGTTGGTTTCGATTATTATTACTCTGGAAATTTGTGGGGGAAAAAAGGGTTGTTAAACCTATTAATAAAACTTAAGTTTATTTAGGAGCAGCTCAAACAAAATTTAATATCTTCATAACCATGTTCATTTTGATATTCTCGGATGTAAATATCAAGATCTACACAGTCAGAAATTACAACATCAGATTTCTCTGGTCTGTACAGTCCCCATTTACTAAAGTAAATGAGGTGGTGGGGAGAGGAGGAATATCATGAAAACTGTAGGACAATCAGTCAAGTAAAGAAAAGGGGAGGCAAAGGAGGGAAGTCAGAAATACTGGGGAATTCTGGCCAAATTATATGCTTATATTATGTGCATGTATGTATATGCAACAGATCTCACCATTTGGTACAATTATACTGCACCAATAAAAATATGGAAAAAAATGGTTGAAGGCCTTAAATATGCATCTTAACTCTAACTATTAGCAAACTATTTTACTATAAAAAATTTTTCATATTATTATATCATGTTCCAAATATATCATGAAAATAAACTAGTTATGTCAACAGCAGCCATACATATAATAAAGATCAATTCCAGTGACTAAAACTATCTGTAGTCTGTATACTTTCAGATAAATAAGCAATCTATGCAGTTTTAGGAGCATAGATAATTGGTAAATTGTCTCCATATAGCTTACCACTAGCATTTTCCAACACCATCTGAAATACAAGCTAAAACAGGAGAATTACCTTCAAACTTTAATATGCAAAATTGTTTCAGATATTAAGAGGAAACTAAGAGAATCTCAAGTGTAAAAAATCAAGTGATAAAAGCCTAATAGCAAATTTATTTATTCCTAAGATTAAAAGGAGCCTGGAAACCTTCATTAACACTAGACATGGAATACTGCTTCCTTCCTTGTAACTATGAAGCCCTATTCCTTAATGTAACACCTATGCAGAACAAAAATTAATTACCTGTATGGGAACTACTTGTGCAACTGTAACTGAAAGTCATTTTATGGTGGTCTATTACAGAAATACTATAAGTAAGGCCACACAATTCCCATTCTAGATGACAGAGGTAACAGCCACACTGCATGAACTAGGGTAACTTTACTATATAATCCACTTCAAGCCTTGTTTCAGCATTCCAAAGCAAGACACTATTTACATTTGGAGAAATAAACTTAGCAAGTAACATTCCTCAAACTTATTGCCAATCATAACTATGAATTCCTGCTGCCAAAAGCAACTAATAATTTTGAAAGCAGGCATCCTTTCTTAAAAGGATTTCTAATGAGCTACTTTTTAACTCAAGCAGTGTAAAACCTTTTAAAAATTATACCACTGTTATATTAAGGAAAAAACCCAACTGGCATAAATGACATGTGGCAGTCTGGCATACACCTGCACATGAACAGAGCAGACAGACACTCAATGTTTTTGTCAAAATAGCTAGGCAAAACATTCCCCAGAAGCAGTGAACAAGAAATATCAAACAGCTACTGTATTGTACACACAGGCTTGGCTCAATTGCCTGGGGAATATAAGGTTCAAGTCACAGGAAACAGCTGGATGTTAAATATGAGTGATGTTTGCAAGCCTTTTTTAAAGAGGAACCTAATAAATAGTCCCTCACATACCAGATATCACCTCTATTCCAAAATAAGCATTTTGTTATCTTCTAACCATTTTTTCTTTAAATACCAAAAAGTGTGAGAAAAGGTTTTATGGAAAAAAATTTTTGGTACTCAATCCTTACTTTTAAGTTCCATTGATTTAATATTCAAAACTGTACCAATTAATTAGCTTCAAAGGAGTTACCGGATGATATGCAGTTAATAAACAGCAGGTGAGACCCTTTTAAAAACTGTTGTTTTTATCGTAAATTAGAGCTTCAAACACTGAGGATATTTTCACTGAAATGACTGAAAATAGAAACTGGACAATTCTCAAGAATAATCCATATGTTGTGGTTGTAAGAATTCAAATTTCCATGAAATGACCTGCTAATGTCCAGGGAAATAACATGTATTCTAAACACATGGTATGTTTAGCAGTGTATTTTGGTATAGTCTACTAAATTGGGAAAATTTAATCTTACACGTAGGAAAAAATTCTCAATGTTATTACTGACTTCAAGTGATTATTGACTTTTAAGTATTTCAAACTGTATTAATATCTTTCCAATGTAAATGTTTACATGTATATCCCCCTGCCCAAAGTCACTGTTTATTTAACTGTAGAGCAAAATTCCAATTTCTGCACTTTCAATTTCCACTTAAATTTCCTTTCTTATCTTCTCAAACCAAAGAATTTCCACTGAGTCTTTAATATGTGGGACAGGGAGCAACTAACCTATACAGCATCCTCAATATTCATTTAGGTTTTTAGAATTTCTGAAATAAGTCTGAAAAATGAGGAAATGGTCAGCATTTTAATTTTTTGAGAATAAAAATTCATAAACATACCTTTTGTTGAATTCCAGCTTAAGGGATTTTTATGTAAATCTTGCAGGTGATGAAAACCAAAAAGCAACCAATCTCTGAGGTGATTAGCCTGTTCTCTTAAGACTATGGATCACCTGCCTTAGGATTTTCTAATTGAACAAGAAATCCATGGGATAAAATAACTGTTTCTCAAAGGTGGGCAGAATGGAACATATATATCTTCACTTCAACAGGGAAGCAATGAAATATAATCCTTTGAATATCCCTTTTTTGGAAGATGTTACACTTTGTCTTTTATCCTCATTTCATGAGATCATTAGCCTGTGAATGTGTCCATGTTTTGATTCAAGATTTTAAAAAATGTTACTTCTGTTTTCTCTAACACCTAAATATGTATAGACAGATCACCCTCATTCCTCATCAATGTTCTTACAGACAGCATGACCAGTGTGCAACTAAGATACCTTATAGGACCTAAGTCTTTTAAGAAAAGTATTTAGCTGAACCTCTATAATCATGACAAGAGATTGATTAAAATGCCAAGATAAGAAACAATTTATTATAGAGAGAAGAAAAATTTCTCATCCAAAATATAGAAATCTGTACAACTTTGCCACAATCAATATACATGAACTGTACAAATTTACACCAGTTCATAATTTACCAAACAAAAGATGACTAACAAAGTTCACAAAATAGATGGTAGTTTGTGGAAAAGACTTTTACCCAATTAAGTACAAGGAAAGTTACAAACCAGACCTCCACTTTCTAAAAATAAGAAGTTTACTCAGTCTTAGAAAACTACAAGCTAGCAAATGTACAGAGAGCTGGCTGGTGTTAACACCACAGTTGAGACAGTGTCTTTTTTAAGGGTCTTTTTTAAAAGCCTGTTGCCATGGCAGATTCTGGTCACTTGCTACTTCCAAAGCCAAAAACACAATACAAGGTCTGACCATTTCCCCAAGTCATGCTTACTAGTTTGTCTTTAGGCACATTTATACATATTTAAGTGCTAGGTAAAAGTCTTGTAAAATTTCCAGTACTACCATGTTTAAAACAAGCTTTCCTACTGAGCTGCCAAAAAGGTTATCAACAACAATTTTCAAGTGTAATAGTGCAAATTCCTCTGCAAGATCTACTGCAGAGAAAGGTTTTTTGAAATACAGATTTTCCTTAAAGGGATTGATGTTAAATTGTAGGTATGTCTGGGAGAAACTGAAACCACCCTAGGACTTCACTCCCTAGCAAATAAAGTGATCATTTACTTGGACTCACAGGCTATTAAATCATTGAAAGGTACTGTCCAAACTATGGCACTGTCACTTAAAAAATTTTTTTTACCACTCTATCTTGTGCCAGATCTTCACAGCTGTGACATGGTTTAAATTCCATAATCCATCCCCAAGAGGAGCCCACCCAAAGCAAAAATCAAATTTATCCATCCATTATAAGATAATCCATCCATAGACTATATCTTAACCCGATACAGTCATCATATTGTAGTTTTTGGAAGGGCTTGTTCTGCCCAAGAGAAGTTCCTCCTTACAGCTGATTCTGCTGTCTACCATTTGCACATTGGTGCTGTTTTGAGTGCTACCTCCTGCTGGTGAGGCTTCATACAGCACACAGATGGAGCCATCCTCTCCAATTCTGTAGGACACTTCGTAGGGGTCAACCCAGAGTGTGAGTTCACTTGGGAGAAGCCTGAACAGCTCCTGACTGCTCAGTCCAATCCGCTGTGCTGCCTGTCCAATCAGAGGATCCATTTTATGGTTGATGCGAATACAACGGTAACCTGATCCCTTGCACGGCTTTTCAGGGAACCAGTGATGTTTATAATGTTCTACAGAAGAAAAGAACAGAGAAACAATGCTTAGATCGGTACTGTTAGCTTCTCAGTTTCCTCCTGCAAGCTCCTTTGAAGAGCGAAAAGGAAAACTACCAACTTCTAAAAATGTGCATGATTGTGTTCACTGCTGTGCGCGCGCGATGATGGAGAAAAAGCGGGCAGGTTTTAGAAATAACACAGTAGTGTGGGACAAAACAAGCTCCAGGAACCAACCGGTTGAGCCGCCAAAACAAGAATAAGGCGCGCAGCCTGGCCAGCCGGGGACCGCTGGACCGCACCACGGCCAGGCGGGAACCTGTTTACTTTCTCCACCCCACCCCAGCCACACACAATGGAGTTTATGGCTTTGGAAAAGAGAAACGCACCGTACTATTAACCCCGAAGCGAGGAAAAACAAGAAACCCTAAACCACGCTCAGGGCAGGGCTGTAATTGTGCCGGTGACAAATCCGATGATTAATGGGCAGGGGCAGGGGGTGCGGAGAGACGGCACGTCGGTCCCGAGCTAGCTCCGGGCAGCGGCGCCACGTCCCACCCCGGGGCCGGGCCGCCGACCCCGCAACGGTTGGAGGACTTTGGGGGAGGGGACGTCGAACCAACCCCAGCCCCGCGGCTCCTTTGTCCCCAAATCCACCGACGGTCCTCGGACCGCGACTCCAGCCTCGTCGGCTTTAGTTTCTTTGTTGTGCGTCTGGTTTCTTCTCCCCCTTGGCTGGCAAGCCTAGGTGAGGGGGCGCCCTCGAC